CTGGAACCTCTCTCTCTCTTCACTCTCTCCCAACCCTGTCTACTTCTTTGCACTGAGCCAGTTGCTCAAACAGACAAGCCTGTTACATCTTCATTACATTACATTACATTTAGCTGACGCTTTTATCCAAAGCGACTTACAATAAGTACATTCGACCAGGAAGACACAACCTTGAAGAAAACAGAATCATATAAGTACATCAGGTTTCATAGAGCCAAACATTTCAAGTGCTACTCAACTGGCTTTAGATAAGCCAGTCCTTTATTAGTATATAAGTGCTTTGTTAATAATCCGAATTATCTAACGCAGCCCCTCGTCCTCCATAATGTTAAACTGTAGCCACCCATTTAGCTATCGCTGTTGAAAGCTTGCTGCTCATAGACGCCGTATCCAGGCGTCTCCCCGGCAAACTTTCAAGCGTGGTCTGCCGCAAGGAGCTTGCTGTTTAAAATACCTTTTTTTGTATCCATATCCGTCGCTCGAATCTCCCACCATCCAACTAGAGATAGATGGACTTTTATTAATCCCTCGTGGGGAAATAGTTTCTCTGCATTTGACCCATCCTAGTGTTAGGATCAGTGGGCTGCCATTTTGAACGGCGCCCGGGGAGCAGTGTGGGGAACGGTGCCCTGCTCAGGGACACCTCGGTAGCACTTGGTCTTGCCTTGAACTGGTGACCTTCCAGTTGCCAAGCCAAGTCCCTATCGACTTCGCCACCACCGCCCCTAACTAACAACAACAACAACGTCAAGCCTTTGGGCCCTGAAACTACGGGGCGGGCCGAGGACAAATACACATACGTTAATCGCACATTAAAATAATTAGTGGTGTTAAAAATATTTTGCGTTAACACGTTAACTTGACAGCCGTAATAAAAATATATAAAAAACATGTCTAAGTGTTTTGCTCAAAATACCAAACAGATCACCCATTCTAGCCATGCCTCATATCCCTCTATTTCACTTCCTGTTTAAAAAATGCTGATTTGTGTTATAAAGCTTTGAAAAAAATAAAGATTTGATAACAAATAAAAAAGAGGAGGGGGCTGAGCTCATGCGGGACCCGGCAGCTACTGTCTAAACTAAATGCTGCCGTGATGAAACGCCATATCATGGATTATCAAGGATTCTCTCTGAAACAGTCTGGAGCTCAAAGGCTTTCTCTCTTGCCGGTTATACCACAAGGTGAGTTCCTTTTTACTTCCTGCTTCTTCACACACATGCTCTCCAGTACAGGTTAGCTCTGAGTGTTAGCGATGCTAATGTAAACACCGACCATATTACGTCCAAAACAGTCGGGCATTGTTTCTGATAGCAGCTTTCTGATTGGCCCGTGGGTCCACATTTCCGATATGACGTCAAATCGGACGCAAATCTGGATCAGCTCCGTTGTACCCCCGTTTTTAGAGATGTGGGTACGGAGGAAAGGAGAGAGGGTTTTATTTTCTGACGCTGCGTGAGTGTCCTGACACACCGGGGACACATCTTTATGTATAAAAGACATCAAAAAGTGCATTTTGCATAGGTCCCCTTTAAGTGATTACAGGCCCGGGGTGAATCCATTTTCTCTCTATTAGCTTTGACAAAACGTGGACGTGAGGGTAAAAATACCAACAATACTATAACTAATATTTGGTTGTAAATTAATCAATAAGTTAAGCATGAAAACTTAAAAAAATGCCTTGTAAAGAAAAGAGACATACATTTCATGTGGAGAATTACAAAGTCTGACACCCTGCCTGAGAGCGGGATGATCCGTCACTTTAAACCTTTTATCTAAAGACTTAAGCAGACAGAAAAATTATGCCCGAGGTCAAAATGCCTTTCCAAGATAAAAGAAAATTCTTTAAAAAAGGAATTTAAAAGATTTGGGATGCAGCTTGAAGAATTGCCCTTGGCGTTTCTGCTGTCTTTCCAATACTAAAAAGAACCTGTATTTCAATTATATTTTCTGGTTTGGAGATATAGTTGAGTATCATCTGCATAACATTAGAGCTATACCTGTTAACCAAGTATTGAATAGGTTCTACGATTAACTGTTGTTTTTAGAGATTTAGGGCAGGAGACAAGATTTATTTTAGGCAAGGCAAGTTTATTTATATAGCACCTTTCAACACAAGGCAATTCAAAGTGCTTTACAAAAAACGAAAGACATTAAGAAAATGGCATTTAAAATCAGTCATTAAAAAGAAAAGATAAGAAAATAAACATTGTTTATATACACTTATATTTATTTTGCGTTTTTAATTATTTGTTTGTGTTATGTAGACAGTGTAGGATCTTCTCGCTAATCAGCAGATTCGTTATTGATTTTAAATGAATGAATCCAAAATGTCAACATATTTCTTTTGCTGGTTTTTATTTCTAAAATGTTGATTTATATTTTATGTATGCACCATGACATCAAGTCAAATTCCTCGTATGTGTGAACTTACCTGGCAATAAACCCGTTTCTGATGTCAAAGACGCTTTCATACCAGTGTTTTAATAATTCTAATTAATACTTTGATGCGTCTCTCTTGACGGTAGCGACAATAAGATAACGGTCTTCAAATGAGCAGGTGGTGAGGGAGGGGAGAACTGAATGGGGGAGGGTATAATCAGAAACATAAAAATAGGCACTGATTCAGCAGGTATATAAATACTGAGAAATTGACCTTTTTTGATATACTTTATTAATCCCCCGTGGGGAAATTGTTTCTCTGCATTTGACCCATCCTAGTGTTAGGAGCAGTGTGCTGCCATTATGTACGGCGCCCGGGGAGCAGTGTGGGGAACGGTGCCTTGCTCAGGGACACCTCGGTAGCACTTGGTCTTGCCGGGACTTGAACTGGTGACCTTCCAGTTGCCAAGTCCCTATCGACTTCGCCACCACCGCCCCTTAACATCTGTGATTGTCAATGTCTCTCTCTACCTTAACCTGTCAACCTAACTGATTTATCTGTACGACATTTTATTTTATCGTCTCGTCTGTCATTTAGTTGTGTTACCCTTTCAAGGTCCTGTTTTGTTAGAATAGATATGTCATGTCATGTACAACAATGTCATTATTGCTTTAAATTCATATTTTATGTGAATCAGATTTATTTTACCCAGTCTCATATGCTTTATGAGAGAGGGCCATCACGCTACACTGCAAAGGATCTTTTAATAACTTTTTCTGTCAAGATCTTGTTTGGATGCAGTGTGAAATTCCACCCCTAAAAAAAGAAGCAACGTTTGGCTAAATTGACTAATACTTGATGAAGTAAACACCTCCCTTAACTGCACCAGCATACCACACATGTTCACATATTGGCACAGAGATGCATACCAAGGCAACATGCATCTTTAGCAGTAGACTATATCTGTGTTTATTATCACCCTTGGGGTATTACTTCTTCCAGGAATGTGTCTGACAAGGTGATTAACCTGACGTTACGGACAAGCTCAACAAAGTGCATGAACTGTCTCATAAAAGGTTTATTTTATTGGCTTCTCAAACTTTGTTCAGTAGTGTACCCCCTTTGAAACATTTTCTCAGCCAAGTACCCCCTGACCGACCCCGAACATTTTTGATCGAAAAAGCCTATATAAATAATTACAATATAGTGATGTTCCCTCAGTGTGTGATTTATTAACTCCTTCGTGGTATGCATTACAACAAACTAAGGATATTTTCATTTTATGCATGAAAAAAAAATAACATAACACTTTTATAAAACAGATTTTTCCAAGGAGTTTTTTTTTTTTAATTTAAGTAATATGTTATTGTGAAAAACAATGAAATACAATACACAGATTTGACATGTTTATATGAGGACCCCCTTGGTGGTTCTAGGAATGTTTTATATAAAATTGTGTTTTCTATTTAACTTATTTTACTAAGATTATTTTTTTAATTAACCTTTTTTTTTTATCTCACGTACCCCCTGCAATACCCCAACGTACCCCTAGGGGTCCGCGTACCCCCATTTGAGAATCACTGGTCTAGTAAACATACAGAAGATGAAAGTAAAAAACACATTCGTATCAGCTCCTGATTGAGTGGCTATTCGTTTAACAATAGCATTGCTATCTCTTTTTAAATGTAACAAGGAACATCCCTTTTGAACAGAATCTCAGAAAATTAAATCATTTTAATGTATGCTATGGAAAAACAAGGTAAATGCTCAAAAGTAGGAATAATCCATAAATGTCATCTTTGTGTCCTTGATTTGAGTGGAGAAACCATTACGCAGCGTCCACACGGCGGCGTGCGTTGAAGCTTGCCGGTGAGCTTGTCTGAAACTTGACCAACAACCAATCACATGAATCTCCTGCCCCGGACACACAAGCATGCGGTTTGATTGGCTACAGCTTGTACTGGCATATGATTCGATTGGCTGACGCTTCCGTCGAAGCTTCAAAAGTTGAACATTGCTCAACTTTTGAAGCGAGCAACGCTCCCACAATGCAGTTCGGCAAAGCATGACGTCACCCCATTCAAAGTGAATGGGCAGAAGCGTTGAAGCTTCAACGCACGCCGCCGTGTGGACGGGCCGTAATAGGCTATGTAAAGCATACACACGTTTGGAGGGCCTCAGAGTATCTATACTATTTAATTGATTATTCACGATTCAATTATTGATACATCATGGATTATTCTAATTCATTCAGTCAACACTTTTGAAACAAATAAATTGAAAATATTGTATAGTTCAGCCTCTTGGATCATCATATTCAGTTTGTTATTTGAATTATTTGTGTTAAGAAATAATGTATTTAGAATGACAAGGATAGGTTTGAAGATATAATTATACTATGTTTTGCTTTTTGGATGCATCTATGGTTTGTATCCTTCCTTTCACACAATTAAAACACTGTTAGGTTTGAAGTATTGGCAGCACTATAGTTTCCCGTTACATATTTGAGCGATTGGTCACCTCACTTTAATAATGATAGATATTCTGTATTGGCATCCATTTTCATTTAGAATGTCCGATTCCATTTTCTGCCTATAATAAGTATAAACACGTCAGATTGACAGTGTATTGATGAAACAATTGGTTTATTGCATGCATTGATTGTCTGTGTACATCCTGTCCGAGTTACATTGTGATAATTATTTAAAGAGTTACTGTACATTTCAAGGCAAACACTGCCCTATTTTACATTATTGCGAGGATCAAAAATGAACCACATTAGCAGTAATCTTCTATCTTTATACAGCCATCTATTTCATACAAGATAGGCGTTATAAAAAAATGGTTGTGAATTTAGAAAATGAAATGTCACAATGGGGTGATACTGTTGTTACTGCAATTCATTGAAAAGGTTATATTGACTTATATGTACTGTTGTATGTGTAGGAACACAATGGTTTTACCAAGTAAACATTCCGACACTAAGGCTACGCTAAAGCTAGTCTATGACATGACTATGAACACACAGCTTTTGAAAGGTGCAGCTCACGAGAACACACACACAGAAACCTGTGTTGTCTCTTCCCTTCTTTGACAGACTCGACATGTCAATCAAACAGTTTACAGACAAGACAGAATTGAATACGACAAAAAATTGCATAATACTGAATTTGATCCATCCCTTCAAATGTACCTTTTAAAAACAGTGTATACTGTAGACAACATAAAAGGACCACCTTACATCATAATACAATCAATTAAATTACTACAAGTATTAAAGCTTAGTGTAAGGATGCTGTAAAATCTTGAGGAATCAAAATAGAGTGTATTAAATAATAATGATGAGTCCTGCTGCTAAGCAACTATCAAGATGGCGCAGGAAAGTACTGGCTGAGTCAGACAGTGAGTCCAGACTGTGGCATGTGACCTGTCCTGCTCAGCCACCGCTGGGCCAGGAACGTCACTTCCTGTCTTCATTTAGAGGAGTTGATGAACCAGGATTTTTTTCAGACAGCTGGCAACCTGTTTGTTCCCATGGTTATTAAATATTTGAGGATATTGTGGTCTTTGGCCTTGCTATTTATCAGATCTGCTTTTAAATTATGAACCCTACATAACCCTCAGGTCTTCGGTTTTATCTGCTTTATTGTTGCACTGTTGGACGAGCCTGTGACCTAAGATTTTCATTGACATAACTACACTGTAGCTATGTACATATTACAATAAAAGCCTTGAATCTTGAATCTGCTGGCCTTTAAATGATGCCTAGTTAAAACAAAGAACCACGGTGAGGCGTCTTTTTAATATTGCGCCCCACGATTGTGGAACAGCCTCCCAGAAGACCAGCGTTCATACTTTTAAGATACATGGTTGTACAAAGTGCATTGTGTTCAGGAATGTACAAATGTATAAATAGGCTAACTTCATGGCTTGTTACCAAAGAAATGGTATGTCGAGTAGGCTGTGTTTAAAGGTATGGGTTTGTACTTAATCCTATTGTATAGTTGAAGTATTGCTATGTTTGAACATGGCATTTGCATCAGTGATTAGATTAACCCGTTTGTGTTCGAGGTGTATGATAAAAAGTACTTATACATGATATTTTATGTAAATATTGCAATACCACAGTGTAGAAGTGCTTATACTCTTGCATCCAAAGTTTGATTAAAAGAACATGTTGGCATCAAATAAACTTAAAGTCCATAAATTAGTCATAATGGATGATGATAACAATCATATTATACTTTGTTCTAATGTGTAATGTTGTCGCTGCTAAAAGTGTAGATCATTTCCATTTCTTTATATACTGCTGTGTACATTTCCAACGCTGTTCAATGATCACATCATCATCATGAGTTAATTTATATTACGTAATAATCTGAATCTGTAAAATAACTAAAGCTGTCGTGGACAAAAAAGTACGATATTGGCTTTTAAAAATGTATGGAGTAGAGGTAAAAAGTAGCATAACATATTAAATACTCAGGCAAAGTAACATTATACTGAAGTATTTGAATAAATGTACTTTACTACATTCCACCACTGGTTATATATTAAATGAAAAACCCTCTACATTAGCCCTTTCTTAGAGATATCCCATGGTAACAATATATTGTATATTTGTATCTCTACGTTTGTTCAGTGGAAGGACTCCGGGTGATGGTGAATGTCCCTCCTGTCCTGAAATAATTCTCTATTTCCTCAAGCGATCGACCTCGAGTCTCTGGGACACACACGGCGGTGAACAGCAGGCAGAGCACACACACCACGGTGAACCACAGGTAGGGCACAAACAGGCTGTGGTCCTCCACCAGGTGAGAGAAGGCCTGCGTGACTGCGAAGGCCGTCAACCAGCTGACGGCCACACACAGACCTGAAGCCACGCCCCTGGTTACCAGCGGCAACACCTCCGACATTAGCAACCATGTGATCGGGCCCCATCCCAAGGCGTATCCTAGGAGACAACAATAGGACGACAAAGATGATGTCGTTGCACAACAAAAGCCCAGAAAGCCGTTAGGGCTCGGTCACATCAAGCTTTTTTTAAGCTCTTTGTTTTTATTGTATTGAAAAAATGTACTCAACTAATTATTTGTTCCCTCTTTTAGTTGAGATTTTGGACAGTTGAGAGCGTTATATTTGTGTGCTGCCTCAGGAGATCGTTGACAAAGTTCAAGGGTCAACAAACATTCCTATCAAAAGAGCAATTTTGCCCCCTTTGTCACAAAATGAAGTTTGTCTGGAGCCGCAAAACATATTTCATAACACAGCTTAAAACGTATGTATTGTCTTATGCAAAACACTTCTGTCTATACAAAATGTTGTTTGTTGCATTTGTGAACAATCTTGAAAGTCTATTGCTATTGTTTTCTGTTGAACATGAAGTCTTGATTGATATCCGTGTATCTAGGAAATCACACAACCACGCTGAAAAGTTTGAAATGTTTTCTCATTAAGCAAGGTGTGCCAACATAATTGACCAATTTAAGTGAAGAGCACAAACCACATGTGGGTGTTGACGTGTATCAGAAAGCAGTTCATTATTCTTCAAGAACAAACTGTGTGTAACAATGCCCTGAGAGCATGAACGGTCATAACTTGTTTGAACACGACTAAAGGTCATCTTCTAAAAACAGAACGCGCTTCGTTAAATACTTTAACACAAATGTCTTCAGGGTTTTCAAGTTTTCAAATGTAACTTATATTTTATTTTCTGCCTCTACTGTGACATGTCTCCATGCTTTAATGTTCAACGGCTCTTTATTTCTCTCATACTGCCTGTGCTGCAGCACCTCTTTTCACCCTCTGTCTGAAACCAGAGCCCAGTCTGCTCTGATTGGTTAGCTGGCCGGCTCTGTTGTGATTGGTTCAAACCTTAGGGATGTCCCAGCCCTTAGCCAATCACGTACAATGTGTTGGAGCGCTAGTTAATAGAAGCATGAGTGTTACATAGTGATGTCACTCTGTTATGGAAGTAAACAAAGTGTCTAATGGAGGCATTTCAGGCAGGGGGGGGGGGGGGAAGTCCCTCTGGAGGCAACTTTTGGATTTTAGTCTTTGCAGAACATTTACATGCACAAAAACCGATATAACACACTACAGGACAGGGATAACCCTAAAAAGCATAATAAGGCCCCTTTCAGATATTTAAATCAAAAATGAATATTGTCAGAAACCAAAGTTGTGATTAGGTGAAACAAAATGTTTCATCAAAGGAAGATAGCTTTCAACACTCACCAAGAATAAACACCATGGTGCTGATGAGAGGAATGAGGCCTGCTGAAGTTTGCTGGCTGGCGTCCAAAGCGCTTCCAATGGCATCATGGGAGATAGTGAGGTTAAGAGGGGCGGGGCCTGGAGGGCATGGTGTGGTGTGGGAGATAATGGTAAGAGTCAGACTGGACAGGATCATCAACAGGCTCGACATGTACAGCAGGGCTTTGCGTCCCGCCCTGTCCATCAGACTGGCTGCCACGGCAACAGCGAAGAGGCGGAACGCTCCAACAATGGCGGCATCATACCTGACAAACGAGAAAGGTCAGTTTCTATATGATTTGTGATTAAAGATAATTATGTTAATTGAAGTTAGAATCTTCTTCGTAGTTTAGTTTAGCCTTTACCTCGGCTGATCATACATTTAAAGCCAATGCAATGACACTTACATTGGTTCGGTTTATGAAAAGCTAATGTACTTAAGGCAGTTTTTTTGAGTTTGTATCATCATGGTTAAATGCAATTAGATTTAGGGTTAGGAATGGATAGACCCCGGGTGCAAATAACAGTCTTGACTATACTCACCCGGGTACAAATGATATCTAAATAAGAAATGTTATGCTACTAGTAATATTTATGGTTAGGGTAGGCCCAAACTCTGAGTGTATTTCTTTATTTAATCACATGTTCTAAAAGCATTGAAAACAGCAACACTTCCATGAGTCATGACAATTAAATAATAATATAGGAATCCCAATAAATAGGCCTACTGCAGATAAATAGTAGGTGTATATAGATTTTTTTAAATGCCCAACCTGGCAGGCAGGGAGACTTTGCTTTTGGCAAAGATGGGCTCCATGAAGACCAGGATGGGTGTGATGCCCGTCATCTGCTGCAGGAAACGCATCATCACTGAGATGAGGATTGGCCGGTAGTACACGGGTGTGGCCAGCTGCGACCACGTGACTTTAGCCTGTGTGTTGATGCTGTGCTGCATTGGGAGACAGAAAAACAAAGGTGTGTGTCCTTCGAAATTGCTCACAAAAATTGCTCCAATGACAGAGCTGCCATTATTGGAGGATCTCTACACCCAGCATTGTAGGAAGAAGGCCAACAGGATTATTAAAGACCTCCATAGCCATAACCCCAGAAACAAAGTTGTAGTGGCAGCCTTCTAGCAGCGGCTATCGCAGTAACGTCAAAAAACACCTGACAGTTTTACCCCACAGGCTGTAGGACTCTCTGTAAAGTGTCACTTAGTGTCTTTTGCACTATTTAGCGTGGTTTTCTCAGTACCTGTATGACATTGATCTCCACTTGTGTGTCGTAGTGTTCCCCCCTCAGCCACCGGAGAGCCTTCTCCGCCTGCTGCTCCCTCCCCAGTTTAATGAGTCTCCTGGGGGAGCTGGGCATGAACACCAGAAGCACGACCATCAGCAGAGCCGGGACCCCCCCCACCACCGCCAACCACCGCCACCGTAACACCAGACCTGCACATCAAACTCTCAGAATTGAACAGTTCATGAAAACAATGTGAGTATTATGGTATGCGGCCTATTGGTATGTTCCTACCCAAGGCGTAGAGCGCCAGGGCCCCAGTCACAGCGGTGATCTGAGGGCAGGAGCCCATAGCCCCTCTCACTCTTTTATGGGAGATCTCTGAGATGTAAACCTGTCACATAAACACACAAAAGAAACACATATTTACAATAACCCAGAATTAATACAGGTATTAGCACTGAAATTAAATTGTCACAACTGACATATCAAACTCTGATTAAACGGACAAAAAAGAGGACAATTTGCATGGCTATGTTATGAATAAGTTCCTGTAACGATGGTAACCTACAGGTATTGATCCTGCCGTCATCCCCCCGGCAACACCTGTGAGGAAACGGCCCAAAAGGAGCATCCAGAAGTCCGAAGCTCCTCCCATCATCAAGTACCTACATTTAAACAGAAGATCATTTTCAAAGAGGTTCATATTTGTGCTTCTACTGTGACATGGTTACATGCTTTAATGTTCAAAAAGCTGTTAGGGCTGTACAAGGGCGTGGAATCAAATGCACGATGCAGAGACAAACAAAGTATCAAAATAAAGTGTTTTAATGTAGACAGGTCATAACACACTGAATACATAAAGCAACAAAACAAAAACTACTAATACACTAATCTAACTCTATGGACGATAACTCTGTGGACAATGACAAAAGGATCTTACGCTGGAAGGCTTGGAACACACAAGACAATCTGGCAACGAGACAGGGGAAGACGAGAACTATATATACTAGACAGACAACACCAGGTGAAGACAATTAGACAATCACAACCGTGGGAAAACAGACAAGGCAGGAAACGTACTTTAGACACATGAGGGTAGACGAGACTATCAAAAATAAAACAGGAACCTATCTAAACACATAACATGAAACCTAGGGAACAATCTTAGCAGAGCCGTCTACGCACAACAAAAGCACTTTATTTAATTAACCCAGTCTGCTCTGATTGGTTAGTTGGACAGCTCTGTTGTGATTGGTCAAATGCTTAGAGATGCCCTGCCACTTAGCCTACAATGTGTTGGGTAGCAACACATTGTTGGGTAGCAAGCCAATGGAATACAAAAATCAACACAATACAGTTTGATAGATTACATTATAGATTACCGCAGTATCCGCACAAAAACCGCCAGACTCAGGGACAGTTTTATCCCACAGGCCATAAGACTGCTAATCACCTGAGCTTTGTTAAGTGCCCCGATAAACCTTCCTGTTTGTCATCTTACAATATACTAATTTATATAAAATAGTTATCACCGCAATAAACCGTATTTAATTTAATCTTAATTTACATTATTTAATATTCTGTTCTTGTACATATCATATTATGTATATAGACTTTTTGCACTACTTTTTATTTTTGTATTTTATTATATGTTGCATTGTTGGAGGTCAGGTCAGAAGAATTTCATTGCCATTTCTACACTGTAGCTTTGTGCATATGACAATAAAACCTTTGAATCTTTGAGATGGCTGTATTGCAACAGAAACCCACCCAATAGTGGACGGCACTGCTGACGTCATGATACTCAGCTTCCGTCCAATCAGGTCGTTGAGCAGCATGGCCCCCAGACCCCCTGAGGCTGCCCCCAGGGTGTAGATGGAGCCGAACCAGGCGGCCTGCTCCTTACCCATCCTGAGCCGAGGGTCCACATCGGGGGTCTGGAGCTGGGGCAGGACCGGTGACGAGTAAACCAGGGAGTAACCGAAGCTGAAGTTCCCCAAGATGGCCGAGAAGACAGCCAGATACAGTTTGGAGTCATTGATCTGCGGCAGAAGGATTTGGAAGCTGAAACTCAGAGTATAAACTGCATACACATGAGGCACGATCAAAGGGTAGATAGGTTAGGTTGAAGGGGAAGTTTCTTTAAATGTACCCTTCCTTTAAAATTAAATATCAGTGTCGGCAACATACATTTTGTGTCTTGTGGATTGCCATGATTTTTCTTTAGCACACAGAAGGGAAGTGTGTTATTTTCACAGTTTTATTCACCCGCATAAACGCATCGTCTGCATGACGACCAAGCTGATCTCTGGGAAATTGCAACAATTACATAACATTTTACCATTTGATTGCCCTCATCCACGCATTCAGCAGGATAATGGAGATGAAGTTGGTGTGAAATGTGTGTGAAAGTTTATTATTAGTTTTCACTCAGTTGAGCCAAGTTAGTGATTTAGTTGTTTTATTACATGTACATCAAGAATGTGTTATGTCTGTAATTCACCATTCTAGCCTTATTTTACCTCCGATCTTCTCCATAGACCAGTTTCACAAACATTGAGTGTTAAGCTTATATCGTGGCTTATATCAATCTAATAGTCACACACATCAGATAGACGTCTAAGAAGTTGAGTTATTGACCATCTTAGGTAGCTCTTTTCTATGAATTCTAATGTTGCAACCCGAACCAAGTATTTGATGTGGCTTCATATTGTGGCAGGGCACATTACTTTTGCTATATCAGCAGTCTGTGTATTTCCCTTAGACACACAAACAACTGCAACAGGTTACCGAGGTCCCTAAAAACTCTTGCTATTCCCATTACTCACTCTAAAAACATTGTTCAAATAGCACAAATTGTACTTTATATTTGCTATTTTCCTGTTTTCTTGTAGCACTGTAGGTAGGTTTTACTTACTGTTACAATGAAAACTTCAATAAGTCATGAAATGTTGATATTTGTGAACTATTTAACTTACATCAAACGTATTTACGAGCAAAATAAAAATATGCATAATAACTGTACAGATTTGTCTGGAATATCCTTGGTAAACTGCACCCTTTAATTTAGACCTTTATCCCTTAACATGTTACAAAGGATATCTTAAAGCTCCAATACATCAATGTTAGGGTAGCTATATATGCTTTTGATGAGATTTTAAAATCAATAAACTAACAGAATTGTTTCCTACCTTGGATTCAGATGATGTTGATCTTCCTTTCAGCAGTGGAGAGTTTTCAGCCATGTCTGCAGCAGGAGACTGTCACACAGAGGTTATCAAATCCAACGTGTTTGATTTGTGACCTCTGTTTCAGGATCTGTTCGTTCCCCTTTACAAAGAGGATGCAATGTTATAAATAGTCAGACAAAAACATATCAATGTGGAAATCAAGCTTCGAACAAATGTGGTTAAAAATGAAATCAAACAAGTTAAAATGAAGACAATTTTGTCTAAAAACTGAAATATTAAGAGACAGACCTGTGTGTTGTCCAGGGTTTCCACTCAGACTGAATGAATCAGACAGAGGCAAGCTACATGTGGGCATAATGAAAATGAAACTGAAATCTGTGTCAACACTGGACTTCCACAAGTGAAACTCAACTGGAATGAATAGTGTGAATTATTTATCATTTTCATTAAATAACTGAGTAACTGTAGTAATATTTGCAAACTTAAAAAAATATATATAATTTATAAAAATGTGCTTCTTGTATTAACTTTTAATGTTATTTATCAAAAATAATTACTTTCAAAATGACCAAAGACGTACTTTTTTAATCTGTTCAGAATGACTTTGAATTAAGCACTTTATGTTACGGTGTGTGAAGGAAGCAGCACCCAAATGCAGATTAAAGTGAAAATTCCTTTATTTCAAGGCTATAATGAAAACAGAACACTCACCGGAGACTTACTCACAACACAAGACAAACCGACACTGAACACAGGAAGAGACTAAATACAGGGAGGGGTAATCACAAGACGAGACACAGCCGGGCAGGGGAGGAGAAACACAAGGGCCACAGGTGAAAACAATCAGACAACTAGACACACCAGGGAAACTAACGACGGGAGGAAAAACACAGGGAAAAGGACCAGACAATATACCCAGAGGAAAACATGACAGGGAGAACAGCAAAACACCCAAACCAAGACATAGAAAACGTGACATAACACAATAATCGTAACACTTTAGTCCCATTTCATTTACATTTGTGGAATGAACACACTGAATGCTAACTTAAAAATATTGACTATTTCCCGATTCAATATAAAACACACGTGAGTCACATATCACATTAGATAAACTATTGAACTAACTTGATGACGAATGATCTGTCGCCATGGCAACGGTATTTGATGACACCCCATAATACGCTTAGATGTTTTGATGGCTGCATCGTTACCAAACCTATGAAGTTTTGGGCCATTTAGAGCATTTTCACTGAAGTTATGAGAAAACCGTGTTTCATAGCGAGCATTGCCATGGCAACGACATTTGAAGGAATTTCAAAACTGTCACGTAGATGTCTTCACAGCTGGACTGTTAGCACACGTGAAGTTTCAGCACTTTTTGACCATTGTCATAGGAGTTATAGCAATATCGTGTTTTACGGCGAGGGATGCGTTGCCATGGCAACAGCTTTTGAGGAAAACTCACTAATGGCACATAGACATGTTGATGGCTGGACCATTAACTGTCATCTGAAGTCTGGTGGTGTTTTGAACATTTTCATATCAGTTACGACAATATCGTGTTTTTTGGCGAGGGATGCGTCTCCATGGAAACAGCCTATGTTGAGATCTCAGATTTGGCGTAGAGCTGTTGAGGCATGGACCGGTGATATACAAGCGAAGTTTGGGGACGATCAGACCATGTCCATTGGAGTTACAGCGACATCGTGTTTCATGGCGAGGGATGCGTTTCCATGGAAATGGCATATGATGACACCCCATAATTGACATAGAGCTGTTGAGGGCCGGACCATTTACCATTAACTGAAGTCTGCTGCTGTTTTAGACCATTTGCATAGGTATCACGACAACATCGTGTTTTATGGCGAGGGATGCGTTTCCATGGCAACAGCCTATGGTGAGATCTCAGATTTGCCGTAGAGCTGTTGAGGCATGGACTGGTGATATACAAGCGAAGTTTGGAGGACGATCAGACCGTGTCCATTGGAGTTACAGCGACATCTTGTTTTATGGCGAGGGATGCGTTTCCATGGAAACGACATATGATGACACCCCATAATTGACGTAGAGCTGTGTTAACCATTATCTGAAGTCTGCTGCTCTGAGCATGTCAGTTGGAGTTATGACATCATCGTGTTCCATGACACAGGTGTTTATATTTGAGCTAACGACGTGTCCAGAGATCAAAGGTTTCCATGGTGATGTGCAGTAATCAGTGAGAGGAGAGCATTTTCATTGTTCTGAATGAGAGATAAACCTCTTACATGTGAAAGTTTTGTTGAAGAACCGTAACAGATATCGGTGACATTTCAAAGCGTGAAGCATGTCAAGGAACTTGAGCATCTGAAGTGTACTTTTTGTGTACTTTCGGGTTAATAATGTGGCTGCTGTGGTGGGGAAAGATGATGCTGTACATACAATGGGGTTTAATGGAGACATGTTGAACGTTTTTGTCAATTCATGCCCTCAAGAGGCATTTTTTTTAATTTTTCAAGCTACGAGATGTTTTCCCACGTTTCTCGTGAAAAATTATGTCTCAGGAATGTAGGGTTTGGGAATTATGGTACGGAGCGAGATATCGCAAAACTACGGAAGAGGATTAGGGCCACATAAACATTTTTTTTGTGAGGATTTGAAAAAAAAAACTTTTTTTTTTGTTCTGAGAAAAAAGTCAGAATTCTGACTTTAATCTCAGAATTCTGACTTTAATCTCAGAATTCTGACTTTTTTCTCAGAACAAAAAAAAAATATTTTTCTTGGGAGAAAAAAGTCAGAAATACCGGTAACTGTAGAACCAGCTTCACTGCGATTTACACATTGCAGATGGTTGTAAAATGACTTATTATGGTTTCCTCTTGGACCCCTCTGGCGCGCAGAAATTCACTCACGTCCTCCATTGTTGCCTACTGCAATGTGTAAATCGCAGTGAAGCTGGTTCTACAGTTACCGGTATTTCTGAGAAAAAAGTCAGAATTCTGAGATTAAAGTCAGAATTCTGACTTTTTTCTCAGAACAAAAAAATTATAATATTTTTTTCAAATCCTCACAAAAAAATGTTTTATGTGGCCCTAATCCTCTTCCGTACAAAACCTTTTTTTTTTTTTCAAAGATTTTTTTTTTTCTTCTCCATGTCCCCTAGGGGGCTCCGTATTATGGCAGGTTTAACATAAAATATGAAGGCAAAATTAAATCTGTCCTCCACTCTAGCTGTGACATCACGCACTCTAAAATCTGAAGAAGGCCTCTTTACCAAGGTCTGAACAATGTTTAATATCTCTAAAAGTATGAATCAGATTTAAAAGTTGTTTTACACGAATAATGTCAGAAAGATGTGTAACATTTTAAAGTTGGAATGAGGTTTATGAGTGAAAGTATGAAGGAGCAGTTAGCAGTTGAAGTCGCATGAAGATTGTTCAAGTCTGAAGAGTTTCTCCATTGACTTCCATGTTAAAAATGGGATGAATTATGGGATGTATCTCTGGAATTATGAAAGTTATGAATAAGAAAAGTAATAGCCATCGATTCCCGACCGAGCTGAACGTTTTGATGTTTGAACGGAGTTTCTGCGATGTGGAATGTGGGAGAAGAAGAGGTGCAAAATAACCCGGCGGAATAATACAGAATTTCGTGCGTAGCACCTCTTAGCCCCACGGACCCTTCGGCAGGTCCGAAACCACAACATCTGCAAGCTACAGTGTCTGAGGGCTTCTTAAGATTTAATAAACTATGAATGTTTCATATCCATGTAACGGGAAGAAACTCAGCTAACTGATGATTTATTTTTTTTAGCAAAAAAAACCACAAGGCTAACACTGAGCCTCTGAATTAGCCCTGAGCGAAAAAATTCTAACGCCGTTTGCACAGAACTCACAGTATAACACCCTTATTACTTATCGTAACTGCACATCCAACATATCAATTAGCATCGTGAGAATACACAGAATTGATAGGTATCTATATCATCACTCCATGATCAGAACTCGCGACATTAGAAACAAAAACAGACATTACAACATGTGGCATTAGATAGCAAACACGGCAATAGGTCTTACCTCTGTTGTTGTCTGATCAAAAATGGTCTTCAATGGCATTAAAACAATAAAAACGCTGCTGAAGGTTAATCCATAGGTTAATCCAATGTGTCTGTGTCATGTTGAAATGATTTCTGATAATCCATCAGCAATAAACCTATAGATTTTCAGATTTCAGAGCGTAAGTATCGCTTTTGGCAAACTGCGTGCGCATAGCCCCCACTTCTCAATCGTAACGTTGGTGTGTATGTAGAAATTCCCCTTCGATTCTATTGGCTCTAACGGTTCAAAAGAGATGTCAATCATGAAAATCGACCAATGGGTTCCAGAGAAACGGCAAAGACGCCCATTTCCACCCAAATGACCCCAGAGGTGGAGTTATTTTTGCTAAACCTCTCTAAAAAGGTCAAATGTCACTTGTTTTGCATCAATCTTGATACAGGGTACTTATTATATGTTGTACTTTGGATTCCTAAAGCTTTTAGTCTACTAACCCATCATCCAAGGGTCGTTTTCACTATAAGTAAAAAATAATCTTTGGACGGACACTATAATTTACAGTTTTTTACTATGTTCAATCTGAATTTTCTTTAAAATAAAAAAACACCTATATTGATTCTGACTCTTCTACATCCAACTCACAGGTTTATCATTACTTTGAGAAAAAAGATTATTAATTTTCCCCTTTTAGAAGTGTAGTTATGGTCATTTGTTCTTGAAATGTCATTTTCGAGCCTGAGACCTGAAAAACAGGCTTGGGGCTTAACAGGATAACAGATAGTTGGAATGCTGTATCAGCATTCCAACTAAAATATACAATTTAGTTTAAATTAGAACGCATGTGGACTTTTTTGAAGCCCAGTGTGCAGTAAATGAAGCCAAAGTGTTGCAACGTGATCATGTGTAGAAAGCAGAAGGGAGGAATAAACATGATTCCTAGATTGTGTTATTCAATGAGAAAGCAGAAGAATAATAAAGGATCTAGATCCCCCTGCACTGAGTCAGGGGGAAGAGAAAAGTACTGACTTCTTCTCCATCAGCCCACACATCATGAGATTTACTGTTTGGCACTACACAAGTATACAAACATACACACTAATACAAATATACACTTTATCATTACATGACATGTCACTTGTTGGACGCTTTTATCCAAAGCGACTTACACACATTCAGTACTGTGGACAATCCCCACAGGAGCAATTTGGGGTGAAGTGTATCGCCCAGGGACACAGCGACATGCCGACTGCAGTGGGACTCAAACTTGCTATCCTCTGATTCGAAGATCAGTACACTAACCCACTGAGCAGTAACCCACTGAGCCACAGCCTTCCCTTATCAAACAATCAATCGTACAGACATAA